GGATAAAGTAGATCTACTTTACTTTACTCGATAAAGTAAAGTAGATTATGTGTCAATCGAATATATATTGCTTTTTCTTTACCATCAAAATCATCAAGTTGTTATGTAAAAATGCTTTCGAATAAATTTTAATCTTTTACAGAATCTATCTAGAATCGAACTATGATAAGAGGTTGAATAACATATTTAAAAAGAAGTTATGTTAAATGAGAAATAGTTTAAATCATCAGAAGTGATAGAAAACTACAATTAATTCATCATATACTTCAGATTGAATTAGATATTGTATTGTTTTTATTGTTGTCCATATTTTCTTGTGTAAGTTAGAGCTAAAAAAATATTTCAGTCTACATTATATCAACTAATAATGTTTTTTATGACATATATATTCCCTTAAGTTTTGTTAATTATTTTACAAAAATGTATATGTAAAAAGATTGAAAATAAGTCGATGCCAATCGTTTTTTTTTTGTTGTCTTCCAAAGAAAACTATTTTCTTCAATCTGAAGATAGGTAATTTAATCGTTGTTTTGAATAATATGTAGGAGAGGAGCTACAGTTTGTAGTTTTGTTAATTCATTGATTCGCTTTTTATGAAGGGCATGAAAAAGGATTTCAATCTGCGCTTTTCAGGCTGTTCATTTTGATAAAAGAAACTTTTCGAATTTTTTATGAAGAAATGGCGATGTTATAGACAAAATATTTATCATAAACATAAATAAAGTTAGATTTTTATAATAGTCATATTGCATACACTCTTTAATCGTAGATCATTCATGATATTTTCCTGTAGCTAAGAATTTGACTATAGTATTTTGCAAAGCTAACTTTCCTCCACAAAACCTACTACGTCACATATCTTCAGAAGAAAGTCATTTTGAGATAAGTCCATCGATTTTTTCTTGCATTTTATCCTATTTTAAAATCTTTTATAGAAAAATTTGAACTTTTAGCAATACGATTTTATGAAATCATGGTTGGACAATTAAGTAGATGTGCATTTTCTTAATTAGCTACCAACAAGAAAACATTATTTGAAAGATAAGGTAGACAGTGTCACAGAGTTTGAAATTCAGGAAATGAACGAAAAAAATCAAAAAAAAAACATTAGTACCATTCATTATGACCTACTCATGATACATAAATTTATAATATGGTAAATTTGAGTAGATAAATATTTGCGTATACACTAAAACGTGTAATGTGAATTTTTAGAACCAGAAAAGATCAAAATTTCTAATATTATTGAAAAAAACAAGTTAGTCATTTATATATATACATCAACATCTACTTTCTTTCTTCATTCTAATACAAAATTTATGAGGAAAAATAAATTTGTGACGGTTTTTAAATATTATATAAATATACAATGTTTTCAACTTTAGTGGTTTATGTGGGAGATCGGAATTTCGGCTCGGACTCAGAATGAGTGTCTGAAGATGTGGGTGAGGGTAAAAAGTCTAGGCCGAAATTCATGTAACCCGTTTATATTGTAGACGTTCTACTTTCCAGAGAAAAATGTACTATGATTTTCTTCTCGGCACTAGTATGTTTAGTATAGAATTTTAAAAGAAGGAATAATATTTATTTATTCAAATGGTATTTAAATAGCGCCAAAATTCTTGAAAACATTCTACAGAGTGAATAAAAAGGGTGGGTGTGAGGGTGTAACAATAAGAAAATCTAAAATTATTTTATTTGTTATTTAAAAACCTGATTTTTATAAAAGTCCAACATAAGATACTTATATTCTTTTTGGTGTAGCGAAAATTGAAGATCTTTCACAACGAGCACAAATAGCTGCTGCTAATCAATTTAAAAATCTTGGACAAAATCAAGCAGAAACAAATGTTAATACTAATGATCAAACAGCCAATTTACTTAATCCAAATGATAAACAAACAACAGATAAAAATGTTAGTGCTCAAGCAACAGCTAAAGCAGAAACGATTCATGAAGAAATTGATGAAGATGAACAGGTTTTACTTTATTATTCTTATATATATATATATTAGAAAAAAAGAAATATTTTTTTTAAAGGTTGATGCTGAAGGTATTGAAGAAGATGATATTCAATTAGTTATGTCTCAATCAAAAACATCACGTTCTCAAGCTATTAAAGCTTTAAGAAAATGTAACAATGATATTGTTAATGCCATTATAGTTTGTTGAACATTTTTATTTATTAATTATTTAACAAAAAAAAACTTTTTTTATTATTTAGGAATTGGCTGAAGGAAACAAATTTAATTTGTTTTAACAAACGATCAAATATAAAACACAAGCAGACATATTAACATAAGTCACTTTGATTTATTTCTTTCTTCTGTTTTTTCTTTATTTTTATTTCTTGTTATTAAAATAGTGTTTTTTTTGGATCATTAAAAGAAATAAAAGGAAAAGCCCTGATCAGTGGCACAAATAAACAAGATAAACATTATTTTCGATGTTGATAATTCAGCATATTTAATAATTTTCCTAATAATATCTATCAAACAATATGTTACAAAAAAAGAAACAATCGATCTTCAATATAATTATTAAAGATAAATCTATAAATGAACTTAACAGATTTATTTATTAATTATAAAAATAAAATATTTAACTTCCATCTATATACTAGGTGTAGGTGTTGGTGTGGGCGTAATGAAGACACAAGCCACACCCTACATCCACCCAATAGAAATCATCTCAATATTCTTAAGTTATATTTAATGAATAATATTCACATCTTTATTATATTAATCATCTTATTTTCAATTTTGTGTTATAGAAGTATAAATATTTTTATTTTTTAAATGTTAAATATGCAATGACAGATCTAAAATTTGCCTAGTCAATCATATAAATGACAATTTTTTCTATAGAAAATTTCCAAGAAAAGATAATTGTTCTTCTGTTGAAGATTTCTGACCAAGTTGTTTAAAATTGTTTTTCATACTGTCCTTGGTAAAGATTGTTGATGTTAACAATATTTAAACAATAATTAACAGTTTATTTTACTAAATATTCATGAAATTTTCTGCTGAGCTATTTTGATCATTAGAAAAACCTTCATAAGAATTTTTTTAATTGAAATTCAGTCTTTCATATTTCTAACAGTTATTTTCGACCATTGAACAATAAACTTCATAAAATAATTAACTAATGCACTTCTTCAAAAAAAAAACTAATTTCTATTTGATCATGACAGAACTACTGAACTTCATTGAAATAAAATTTCATTTTTATTAACAAGGTTTAGTACTAATCGATGTTATTTCAAAGATTTAGAATATAAATTATATTTATTTAGTTAATATTATCATCAAAACTGCATTCTCGTTTTTATAAATCGGTATTATTTTATTCTAAATCTAACATGTTTCTATGCACAATACCTTTTGTATCATGTTGTTCTCTATTAAAAAACATATATAATGGGTGTGGGTGTGGGTGGGTGTGTGGGTGTGGGGTGTGGGTGTGGGTGTGGGGTGTGGGTGTGGG